TGTTGGGGAGCTTGCGGTAGCCATGAAAGCCACCTCCATTGTCCATTGTTGTGTGTGATGTGAAGAGAGAGAGAGAGAGAGAGAGAGAGAGAGAGAGAGAGAGAGAGAGAGAGAGAGAGAAGAAATAGGGTGTGTGTGTGAGTGACAATGGAGTAGTTGGCAGGTGTGCACATTTTATAGTGCTCAAACGTGCCAATTAGGGCGTTATAAACGATGAACCTGGTTATAGTCGATCACAAACCCGTTAAAGAGGTCCACATGGATTAGTGACATGAAAATGATACTATAATACCATGTAGGTTTCTCCAAATATTTACAATGACCAAAGTTAAATTTTTTTAAAAAGATTAAAAAAAAAAAAAAAAGAATTATGTACTCCATATAGAAACCAAAAAAATAAAAATATAAATATAAATTTAATTTGAAGGTGAGTGAAAATCCTTTAATTCATAAAAACAACTCAATAAATTAATTTTCAAAACTTTAAACTATGTTTTGAGCTCACTTCATTCATTGCCAACCCTATTTAGAACCTCTTTAGAGAAACATAAGACCTACTTAAACATTTACCAAAAAAAGTAATGATAAAATAAGAAGGTGGTCCAAGTTAATACTAAACATTAAAGAAAAGCAAATCAAATTATTAATTTAAGTACTACATAGTTAGAGTATGAATTCTAACTAGCTTTTCCTTTGATGTTCATAATCAAATCAAATCAAACAAAACAACTACTCATAGTTAAACTAATAAGTCTTGTTGTTGTAGAATAGAATAGAATAGATACTACTATGATACTATCATTTATATTGATGATGGTGATGATGATGATGATGTCCATTGGCATCAACATTTCCATGTCCACCTTGAGAATGAGAAGAAGAACCTCCAGCAACATTTGATGCATTATTACTACTACCATCCCTCATCATATAAGCTGGTGGATTACCATAATACCCTCCATTTGGATGACCAATATGAAATTGCGGAACAAAACCCCCTAAACCACCTCCATATTGATCTATTGTTCTCTTTCCCAATGGTTCAACTCTCATTGAAGTACGATCACCTTCAAGCTCGCGGTAACGATGAAGATACATAGTAAGAGGTTCAATGTAATCATCAAATCCTAGCTTACTCATAGCCCAAAGAACATCTTCAGCAGTTATCGTCTTCCTTTGCTCTCTCTGACAACGTTCATTTGCTTCACCGGTTATGAAACTGATATACTCAGATACACACTCTTGAATTGTTTCCTTTGCATCGTCTGAGATTTTTGCATGCGGTGGTAGAATCTTACGCATGATCCTTATCACATTTGCAATTGGCATAAAACGATCTTGTTCCCTAACAATGCATTCATTGTCTTGTTCTGATCCTGCTGATGAATGGTTACTGTTGTTGATATGTTCTCCTCCTACTTGCTGCCTCATGTTCATCTCAGACACTGATGATAGCTTCAATGTCCCTGCATAGATAGAGCATGGGTATGTAGAAAATGGGAGGTGCATATGTAAGATAATATGTTTAGAGAGAAAGAAAGAGGTGATGAAATGCAGGATGGGTCAGTGGTGTTGGGAGGGATCGTGTGTGTCATGTTGCTTCGATGGCTTTTCTTTAGAAAAGAGAAATCAGAAGAAAACGAAAAAGAGTGTTTCATAAGTAATGCATGCCATTAAAGAGGACAAAAACAAGAACAAATAAACGAATGAAAACAGTTACTAATTTTTCAAAGTTTTATTTGTTCATGCATTCGTTACTCTATTACACTTTTCAAATATATAGGAGTAAATAAAACAGCTATCTGAACAGTTGTATCCAGGTTAAATTTAAGGATAAATACATCAGTTTTTTAATGTTTCATTTTAGAGAGAACTAAAAAAACAAGTGCATGTTTAAATTCACATTTCATTTAGTTTGAAAATATCAAATTTAGGGTTTAAGTTTGGTTTGCTTGGGAAATATAACAAAAGTGTGAATAACAAAAACTAGCTTATTATAAATAAATTTGGCCTTATTATTAATGTTATCTTTTGAGTTGTACTTGTACAATGTTATCTCTTTCCAAAACATAAATACCTTTGGCTGGCTAAAAATTCAGAGTGAAGTAAAGACTGTGGCCAATAAAAAGACGTAAAAGGTGGTATTAGTGGAGATTGGATCGATCATGACATTAAGTTGAATAACTGAAGAATCCATTGAAGACACTTGAAACTAAAATTCAAAGATCCAATGCATGCATGACACCTATATCATTTATGTTATCATCTTACTTTTAAAATAACACAGGAAATCCAGGTACTATCTAGCAAAAAGATAATTGAGGACAAGAAAGAATAACAAAATTTAGGCCGGATGCAAAATATCAGAAACACAATAGGCTAGAAACATGAAAAAAAATTATTTGACTCATACCAATTATCAATAACATCAGTCGAATCAGTTCTAGCATTCACGAGACAAAATATTAACTACTAAGAAACGATATATGCATGCGCACAAATATATATATATATATATATATATATATATATATATATATATATATATATATATATATATATATATATATATATATATATATATATATATATATATATATATATATATATATATATATATATATATATATATATACTTCAAGTAAATATATTAATTAATATATAGAATCTTGCATGTGAAAGATCATGATCATATTACATATGTACCTTTTCATAAAAAATTGAAAAGGACAAAGAATGTGTGTCAGTTTGTTTCTATAGCTTTTCTTGAGAAGAGAGAAATCAGAAGAAAATGACAAAATGTGTTTGATAATTCATGCATGTGATTAAAAAGGACAAAAACAAAAACAAATAAACGAATGAAAACAATTTCTCTTTTTTCATGGCTTTTTTCGTTCATGTATTCGTTACTCTATTACACATTTCAAAGATAGGGGAGGGGCCACCTAAATTGCAAATGGTAAATAAAATAGATATATGAATAGTTGTATCCAAATTAAATTTAAGGATAGATACATCAATTTTTAAATGTTTTATTTTAGAGAGAACTAAAAAGACAAAAGCATGCTTAAATTCACATTTAATTTAGTTTTACAAAATTACTATAACACCGTAATTTTATCAAGGTTTTAAGGATTGATATTTCATAAGTGTGAGTGGTTTTAGTTAATTTTGACAAAAGAGAAAGTAAATAAAATAAAAATAAAATGTGAGAGAATATTTTATTGCGAATGAGACACAAGGTCATTGAAATCCATCCTAAGGTTTTAAGTATATACTTTACTATTTTGAGAATTATTTTTTTAGTATATTCTCAATCACATATCTTCTAATGTCTTTAATGTAATGCTGCTCAATTATCTAGTATAGTGAAGAACATTTTAACAATGTAGAAACTCTCAAAAGTCGATCTAGTGGTAAAAGATTGAGTCTTGAGGGACAAAATTTAAACTTAGGGTTTAAGCTTGGTTTGCATGGGAAATATAACAAGAGTGTGAAATTTTTGAAGATAAAAAGCCACATATAACTTCAAAACAAAAAATAGCTTGTTAAATAAATTTGGTCTTATTATTAATGTCCTTTTATGAGTTGTACAACGTTATCTCTTTCCAAAACATAAATCCCTTTGGTTGGCTGAAAATTTAGAGTGAAGAAAAGATAGTGGCAAATAAAAAGGCGTAAAAGGTGGTACTAGTGGAGGCTAGAGATTATGACACAAAGAATAACTGGAGAATCCATCAAAAACACTTGTATCTAAAATTCAAAGATCCAATGCATGCATGCATGACGCTTGTACCATTTATATTATCATCTTCTTTTTAAGATTACACAGGAAACTCAGGTAGTACTAGCTAGCAAGAAAATAAATTAATGGCAAGTAAGAATAACAACATTTAGACAAGATGCAAAAAATCAGCTACACAATATGCTAGAAACATGTAAGAATTATTTGACTAATATAACATTAACATTAACATCAGTCAAATCAGTTCTTGTATGCACGACACGCGACATCAACTACTAAAGACATATGCACATACTTGAAGTAAATATATTATATTAATTAATGTATATAAACTTGCATATGAAATATCATGATCATATTATATATGAACATTTTCATAAAAAAATAGAAATCATAAAAAATACAAAAAAAAAAATGTCACACAAAGAAGAAACATTTGAGATGTTTCTTAATTCTTATATATATGCAGAGTTTACGTACCAGAGGTAGTGTTGGGAAACTTGCGGTAGCCATGAAAACCACCTCCACTGTCCATTGTTGTGTGTGATGTGAAGTGAAAGAGAGAGAGAGAGAGAGAAAGAGAATAAAGATTGTGTGTGAGTGAGTGACAATGGAGTAGTTAGCAGGTGTCCACATTTTATAGTGCACAAATGTGCCAATTAGGGCGATGTAAACGAGGAACCTTGTTATACACGGTCACAAACCTGTTAAACAGGTCCACATGGATTAGTGACATGAAAATGATACTATAATACACTTTAGGTTGCTCCATTGATTTACAGCGAGCAAAGTTAAGTTTTTTTTTAAAAGATTAAAAAAAATTGTTATATAATCCATATAGAAACCAAAAAAATATTAATATATGTCTAAATTTAATTTAAAGGTGAGTTCAATACCTTTAACTCATAAAAATAACTCAATAAATCAATTTTCAAAACATTAAACTATGTTTTTAGCTCACTCCTTTTATTGTCAACCCTATTTAGAACCACCTTAGAGAAACATAAGACCTAATTAACCATTTTCCAAAAAACAATAAAGATAAAATAAGAAGGTGGTCCAAATTAATACTAAACTTTAAATAAAATCAAATCAAGTTATTAATTCAAGTACTATATAGTTAGGATATGAATTCTAACTAGCTTTTCCTTTGATGTTAATAATCATATCAAATCAAACAAAACAGCTACTCATAGTTAAACTAATAAGTCTTGTTGTTGTAGAATAGAATAGAATAGATACTACTATGATACTATTATTTATATTGATGATGGCGATGATGATGATGATGTCCATATGCATCTGCAATTCCATGTTCACCTTGAGAATGAGAAGAAGAACCTACAGTAGCATTTGGTGCATTGTTGCAACTACCATCCCTCATCATATAAGTTGGTAGATTACTATAATACCCTCCATTTGGATGATCAATATGGAACTGTGGAACAAAACCACCTAAACCACCTCCATATTGATCCATTGTTCTCTTTCCCAAAGGTTCGACTCTCATTGAAGTACGATCACCTTCAAGCTCGCGTTAACAATAAAGATGCATAGTAAGAGATTTAATGTAATCATCAAACCCTAACTGACTCATAGACAAAGAACATATTCACCAGTTATCATCTTCCTTTGCTCTCTCTGACAATGTTCATTTGCTTCACCAGTTATGAAATTGATATACTCAGATACACACTATTGAATTATTTCCTTTGCATCGTCAGAGATTTTTGTATGCAGTGGTAGAATCTTACGCATGATCCTTATCAAATTTGTAATTGGCATGAAATGGTCTTATTCCCTAACAGTGCATTCATTGTCTTTATCTGATCCTATTGATGAATGGTTGTTGTTGTTGATCTGTTCTCCTCCTACCTGCCGCCCCGTGTTCATCTCAGACACTGATGATAGCTTCAATGTCCCTGTATAGATAAAATACATGTATGTAGCAAATGGGAGGTGTATATGTAAGATAATATGTTTAGAGAGAAAGAAAGAGGTAATGACATGTAGGATAGGTCGATGGTATTGGGAAGGAACGTCTGTGTCAGGTTATTTCGATAGCTTTTCTTTAGAACAGAGAAATCAAAAGAAAAGGACAAAGTGTGTTTCATAAGTCATGCATGCCCTTAAAGAGGATAAAAATAAGAAAAAATAAATGAATGAAACTTGTTTCTCTTTTTTCCTGGTTTTATCAGGCATTCGTTACTCTATTGCACATTTCTAAGATATAGGAGTAATTAAATAAGCTATCTGAACAGTTGTATCCAAGTTAAATTTAAGGATAGATACATCAATTTTTAAATGTTTTATTTTAGAGAGAACTAAAAAAACAAGTGAATGTTTAAATTCACATTTCATTTAGTTTGAAAACTTAAATTTAGGGTTTAAGTTTGATTTGCAAGGGAAATATAACAAGAGTGTGAATAACAAAAACTAGCTTGTTATAAATAAATTTGGCCTTATTATTAATGTTCTTTTCTGAGTTGTACTAGTACAACATTATCTCTTTTCAAAACATAAATCCCATTGGTTTGATAAAAATTCAGAGTAAAGCAAAGACAATGGCAGATAAAAAGACGTAAAAGGTGGTATTAGTAGAGACTGCATCGATCATGACATTAAGTTTAATAACTGAAGAATCCATCAAAGACACTTGTAACTAAAATTCAAAGATACAATGCATGCATGCACGGGGCTTGTACCATTTATGTTATCATCTTATTTTAAAATAACAAAGGAAACTCAGGTATTAGCTAGCTAGAAAGTAATTAATGGCAAGAAAAAATAACAAGATTTAGACCAGATGCAAAATATCAGAAACAGAATAGGCTAGAAACATGAAAGAACTTATTCGACTGATACTAATTAACATTAACATTAGTCGAATCAGTTCTTGCATGCACGAGACACAACATCAACTACTAAGGAAATACATATGCACACACACTCACACATGCAAACACACACACACACACACATAAAAACACACACACACACACACACACACACACACACACACACACACACACACACAGACACACACACACACACACACACACACACACACACATATATATATATATATATATATATATATATATATATATATATATATATATATATATATATATATATATATATATATATATATATATATATATAAATATATATATATATATATATATATATAATACTTGAAGTAAATATGATAATTAATATATAGAATCTTAGATGTGAAAGATCATGATCATATTATATACCTTTTCGTAAGAAATAGAAAAGGACAAAGAGTGTGTCTCAGTTTGTTCCTATAGCTTTTCTTGAAAAGAGAGAAATCAGAGCAAAAGGACAAAGTGTGTTTGATAAGTCATGCATGTTATTAAAGAGGACAAAAAAAAACAAATAAATGAATGAAAATGATTTCTCTTTTTTTTTATGGCTTTTTTTGTTCATTCATTCGTTACTCTATTACATATTTCAAAGATAGGGGAAAGGACACCTACAATGCAAATGGTAAATAAAAAAGCTTACTGAACAGTTGTAACCGTGTTAAATTTAAGGATAGATACATCAATGTTTAAATGTTTTATTTTAGAGAGAACTAAAAAGACAAGTGCATGTTTAAATTTGCATTTAATTTAGTTTGACAAAATTACTATGACACCGTAATTTTATCAAGGTTTTAAGGATTGAAATGTCATCATTTTGAGTGGTTTTAGTTAATTTTGACAAAAGAGAAAGTAAAAAATAAGAGAAAAATAAAATGTGAGAGAATCATTTATAGCGAATGAGACACAAAGTCATCGAAATCCAGCCTGAGGTTTTAAGTATATACTTTAATATTTTGATAACTATTTTTTTATCTTATTCTCAAAAACATATCTTCCAATGTCTTTAATGTCATGCTGCTCAGTTATCTAGTATAGTGAAGAACATTTTTATAATCTGGAAACTATCAAGAGTCGATCTAGTGGTGAAAGATTGAGTCTTGAGGTACAAAATTTAAACTTTGGGTTTAAGCTTGGTTTATATGGGAAATATAACAAGAGTGTGAAAATTTTCAAGATGAAATGCCACATATAACTTCAAAACAAAAACTATCTTGTTAAATAAATTTGGCCTTATATTAATGTTCTTTTCTGAGTTGTACAACATTATCTCTTTCCAAAACCAAAATCCCTTTGGTTGGCTGAAAATTCAGAGTGAAGAAAAGATAGTGGCAGATAAAAAGGCTAAAAGGTGGTTCTAGTGGAGACTGGAGATTATGACCAAAAGAATAATTGAACAGTCCATCAAAGACACTTGGAACAAAAATTAAAAGATCTAATGCATGCATGCATGACGCTTGTACCATTTATATTATCATCTTATTTTTAAAATTAACAGGAAATCCAGGTAGTACTAGCTAGCAAGAAGTTAAATTAGTGGCCAGAAAGAAAAACAAATTTTAGACAAGATTCAAAATATCAGCTACACAATATGCTAGAAACATGAAAGAATTGATTCGACCGATATAACATTAATATTAACATCAGTCGAATCAGTTATCGCATGCACGACACACAACTTTGACTACTAAAGACATATGCACATACTTGAAGTAAATATATTGTATTAATTAATTTATAGAATCTTGCATGTGAAAGATCATGATCATATTATATATGAACATTTTCCTAAAAATTAGAAAACATAAAAAACACAAAAACAAAATATCACACAAAGAAGAAACATTTGAGATGTTTCTTAATTCTTAAATATATGCAGAGTTTACGTACCAGAGTTAGTGGTTGAGAGCTTGCGGTAGCCATGAAAACCACCTCCACTGTCCATTATTGTGTGTGATGTGAAGAGAGAGAGATATAGAGAAGAGAGAGAGTGAGTGAGAAACAATGGAGTAGTTGACATGTGTCTACATTTTATAGTGCTCAAACGTGCCAATTAGGGCGATGTAAACGAGGAACCTGGTTATAGCCTGTCACAAACCCGTTAAAGAGGTCCACATGGATTAGTGACATGAAAATGATACTATAATACCCTGTAGGTTGCTCCATAGATTTACAACGACCAAAGTTAAATTTTTTTAATAAGATTACAAATAAAATAAAAAATTATTATATCCTCCATATAGAAACCAAAAAAATAAAAATAAATTTCTAAATTTAATTTGAAGGTGAGTTCAAATCCTTTAATTCATAAAAATAACTCAATACATTAATTTTCAAAACTTTAAACTATGTTTTGAGCTCACTTCATTCATTATCAACCCTATTCAGAACCACCTTAGAGAAACATAAGACCTAATTAACCATTTACCAAAAAAATAATGATAAAATAATAAGGTGGTCCAAGTTAATACTACTCTTTTTAAGAAAACAAAATCAAGCCACATATTAGGATATGAATTCTAACTAGGTTTTCCTTTGATGTTCATAATTAAATCAAATCAGACAAAATAACTACTCATAGTTAAACTAATAAGTCCTATTGTTGTAGAATAGAATAGAATAGATAATAATATGATACTATTGTTTATATTGATGATGATGATGTTGATGATGATGTCCATTGGCATCAGCATTTCCTTGTCCACCTTGAGAATGAGAAGTAGAACCTTAAGCATCATTTGATGCATTGTTACAACTACCATCTCTCTTCATATAAGCTGGTGAATTACCTTAATACCTTCCATTTGGATGACCAATATGACACAGTGGAACCAAACCACCTAAACCACCTCCATATTGATCCATTGTTCTCTTTCACAATGGTTCAACTCTTATTGAAGTATGATAACCTTCAAGCTCATGGCGACGATGAAGATACATAGTAAGAAGTTCAATGTAATCATCAAGCCCTAGCTTATTCATAGCCTAAAGAACATCTTCAGCATTTATCGTCTTCTTTTGCTCTCTCTGACAACATTCATTTTCCTCACCAGTTATGAAACTGATATACTCAGATACACACTCTTGAACTGTTTCCTTTGCATCGTCAGAGATTTTTTCATACAGTGGTAGAATCTTATGCGTGATCCCTATAACATTTGCAATTGGCATGAAACAGTCATGTTCTCTAATAGTGCATTCATTGTCTTGTTCTTATCCTGTTGATGAATAGTTGCTATTGATGATTTGTTCTCCTCCTAGTTGTTGCCTCATCTATATCGCAGACATTGATGATAACTTCAATTTCCATGCATAGATAAAGGATGTGTATGTAGCAAATGATAGGTGTATATGTAAGATAGTAGGTTTAGAGATAAAAAAAGAGGTAATGACATATAGGATGGTTCAGTGGTGTTGGAAGGGAGCGTGTGTGTCAGGTTGTTTCGATAACTTTTCTTGAGCACGGAGAAATCAGAAGAAAAGGACAAAGAGTGTTTCATAAGTCATGCATTCCATTAAAGAGGACAAAAACATGAACAAATAAACAAATGAAAATGGTTTCTCTTTTTTCATGGCTTTATATGTTCATGCATTTGTTACTCTATTACATATTTTAAAGATATGGGAGTAAATAAAACAGCTATCTGAAAAATTGTATCCAGGTTAAATTTAAGGATATATACATTAATTTTTAAATGTTTTATTTTAGAGAGAACTAAAAAAACAAGTGAATGTTTAAATTCACATTTCATTTAGTTTGAAAATTTCAAATTTAAGGTTTAAGTTTGGTTTGCATGGGAAATATAACAAGAGTATGAATAACAAAAACTAGCTTGTTATAAATAAATTTGGCCTTATTATTAATGTTATTCTCTGAATTGTACTTGTACGACGTTATCTCTTTCCAAAATATAAATCCCTTTGGTTGGCTGAAAATTCAGAGTGAAGCAAAGACAGTGGCAGATAAAAAGGGGTAAAGGTGGTATTAGTGGAGACTGGATCGATCATGACATTAAGTTGAATAACTGAAGAATCCATCGAAGACACTCATAACTAAAATTTAAAGATCCAATGCATGCATGGATGACGCTGGTATCATTTATGTTATCATCTTCTTTTTAAAATAACACAGGAAATCCAGGTACTAGCTAGCAAGAAGTTAATTAATGACAAGAAAGAATAACAAGATTTAGACCATATGTTAAATATCAGAAACACAATAGGCTAGAAACATAAAAGAACTTATTTGATTGATACTAATTAATATTAACATCAGTCGAATCAGTTCTTGCATGCACGAGACACAACATCAATTACTAAGAAAAGACATATGCGCGCGCGCGCGCACACACACACATAAGAGTTATATATATATATATATATATATATATATATATATATATATATATATATATATATATATATATATATATATATATATATATATATATATATATATATATATATATATATATATATATATATATATATATATATATATATATATATATATATATATATATATATATATATATATATATATATATATATATATATATATATATATAATTAAATTAAATATATTAATTAATGTATAAAATCTTACATGCGAAAGGTCATGATTATATTATATATTTACCTTTTCATAAAAAATAGAAAAGGACAAAGAGTGTGTGTCATTTTGTTTCTATAGCTTTTCTTAAGAAGAGAGAAATCAGAAGAAAAGGACAAAGTGTGTTTGATAAGTCATGCATGTGATTAAAGAGGATAAAAACAAAAACAAATAAACGAATGAAAACAGTTTCTCTTTTTTTATGGTTTTTTTGTTCATGCATTCATTACTCTATTACTCATTTCAAAGATAGGGGAGGGGCCACCTACAATGCAAATGGTAAATATAACAGCTTACTGAACAATTGTATCATGGTAGAATTTAAGGATAGATACATCAATTTTTAAATGTTTTATTTTTGAGAGAATCTAAAAAGACAAGTTCATTTTTAAATTAACATTTAATTTGATTTGACAAAATTATCATGACACGTAATTTTACCAAGGTTTTAAGGATTGACATTTCATCATTTTGAGTGGTTTTATTTATTTTTGACAAAAGAAAAAGTAAAAAATAAGAGAAAAATAAAATGTGAGAAAATATTTTATAGCGAGTGAGTCACAAAGTCATCAAAATCCAACCTGAGGTTTTAAGTATATAGTTTACTATTTTGATAACCATTTTTTATCATATTCTCAAACACATATCTTCTAATGTTTTTAATGTCCCGCTGTTAAATTATCTAGTATAGTGAAGAACATTTTAATAATGTTGAAACTCTCAAGAGTCGATCTAGTGGTGAAAGATTAAGTCTTGAGGGACGAAATTCAAACATAGAGTTTAAAATTGGTTTGCATGGGAAATATAACAAGAGTGTGAAAATTTTCAAGATGAAATGTCACATATAATTTCAAAACAAAAACTAGCTTGTTAAATAAATTTGTTCTTATTATTAAAGTTATTTTCTGAGTTGTACAACATTATCTTTTTCCAAAATATAAATCCCTTTGGCTGGCTGAAAAATCAGAGTGAAGAAAAGATAGTGGCAGATGAAAAGGCTAAAAGGTGGTACTAGTGAAGACTGGAGATTATGACAAAAATAATAACCAAAGAATCCATCGAAGACACTTGTAAATAAAATTCAAAGATCCAATGCAAGCATGCATGATGCTTGTACCATTTATGTTACCATCTCCTTTTTAAAATTACACAAAACCAAGATAGTACTAACTAGCAAGAGTTAAATTAATGGCAAGAAAGAATAATAAAATTTACACCAGATGTAAAATATCATCTATACAATATGCTAGAAACATGAAAGAATTGATTCGACTGATATAACATTAACATTATCATCAGTCGAATCAATTCTTGCATGCACGACACCCAACATCCACTACTAAAGACATATGCATAAACTTGAAGTAAATATATTGTATTAATTAATATATAAAATCTTGCATGTGAAAGATCATGATCATGTTATATATGATGATTTTCATAAAAAATAGGAAACATGAAAAATACAAAAACAAAATGTCACACAAAGAAGAAACATTTGCGATGTTTCTTAATTCTTAAATATATGCAGAGTTTACGTACTAGAGGTAGTATTTGGGAGCTTGTGGTAGCCATGAAAACCACCTTCATTGTCCATTGTTGTGTATGATGTGAAGAGAGAGAGATATAGATAAGAGAGAGAGAGAGAGAGAGAGAGAGAGAGAGAGAGAGAGAGAATGAGCGACAATGGAGTAGTTGACAGGTGTCTACGTTTTATAGTGCTCAAACGTGCCAATTAGGGCGATGTAAACGAGGAACTTGGTTATAGCCTGTCACAAACCCGTTAAAGAGGTCAACATGGATTAGTGACATGAAAATAATATTATAATACCCTGTAGGTTACTCCATATATTTACAGCGACCAAAGTTAAAATTTTTAAATTAGATTAAAAAAAATTGTTATATACTACATATAGAAACCAAAAAAATAAAAATATATTTCTAAATTTAATTTGAAGATGAGTTCAACTCCTTTAATTCATAAAAATAACACAATAAATTAATTTTAAAAACTTTAAATTATGTTTTGAGCTCACTCCATTCATTATCAACTCTATTTAGAACCACCTTAGAGAAATATAAGACCTAATTAACTATTTACGGGAAAAAAAAGATAAAATTAGAAGGTGGTCCAAATTAATACTAAACTTTAAAGAAAAGCAAATCAAGTTATTAATTTAAGTACTACATAGTTAGGATATGAATTTTAACTAGCTTTTCCTTTGATGTTTATAATCAAATCAAATCAAACAAAACAACTACTCATAGTTAAACTAATAAGTCTTGTTGTTGTAGAATAGAATAGAATAGAATAGATACTAATATTATACTATTTGTAGTATGGTAGGAGAATTGACTTTTAGTTTTGCATTTTTATCGCAAATGTTATGAAGAGTAAGAGTCGTCACCGACTTTTCTTTTATCCAATTAAAGAAAGGGCGAAAAGAACAGGAAAGATCTTTGAGAATTTTTATGAGTTCGGGAGGTAGTTTATGAAAAGGGAAGGTGTTAGCATCCTTTTCATCTGTAATTATGTACGTACTCTTAATCGCTAGCTCACTTTTGAAATGCTTTTTCTTTGTGTATGTTTGAAAATATTTTGAAAATGCCTGAATGCGTCAATTTTGTAATGATTCTCGTATCGATGAGAATGCATACAAAATGTATTTTTAAAATATTTGTTGAAATAGTGTCGTTGTATGAAAAATGTTTTGAAAATGCCAATGTAAGGCAGTTTGCTTTATAATAACCCTTGTATCAGTCCTCAAGAGTGTTTATAAAGCGTTTTGAAAGTAGTTATTTTGAAAGTGTGAGGTGTGAAGATTGTTTTGGTTTGTGAGCAAGCGATTACAAGTGATCTACTTACTCAAAAAGTCTTTGTTATTTTCCTCCTACTTTAGATAGTGCTACCCTACCATTAGTTAGTAGGAAGCCTTATCGTTGGATGTGAGGGACGGGTGCGAGTCATCATACAAGAAATGTTTTTTTTGTTGTTTTCTTGAGAAAGAGAAATGTTTGTGATTAAAAAAAATCTAATTAATTTTACTTAATTAAAAAAGAAATTGATTAATTTAAACCTAGAAAACCTAATTAATTAATTAAATAACTAATTAAACTAAATCATTTTTATTTAATAAAATAAATAAAATAATTAATAATATTAAATAAAACTTTATCAATTTAAATATTTATTTAAAATATTTTTTGTATTTTTATTTTGATAAAAATAATAATTAAACAAAATAATACAAAAATAATATTAAAAAAAAGTAAATGGGCCTATTGTAGAAGAAAATTGGGGGATATGAGAATAGAAATTATTCGGGCCTAAGAGACAAGGCTCAGTGCCTGCGTTGGATCCAGTGAGGGTGATTCCTTGGGGTGCATCATTGTGAGACCATCAACAGGGTTGGATTGGACCTTTTGAGATCTGAAGGTCATGGCATAAGGATGTATGGAAAACACGCTGACTTGCTTGCACTGAATCTGTGAACAAGAAAACATAAAAACAAAATATACCAGGGGCAGGGGTCGAACTCGTGCCTTAGTATTCTAATGC